GTGTATAGGAAGAACCCAAGCAAGGATTGTGGTACTTCCAGCTGCTCCTAAAACTGTCTTGATCAGTTCAGATGTGAATGCACAGAGCTGTAGTGAACACAGTGGCTGCCCAAGCTCATACTGTCTTGATCCCTCCAGCAATGACCACCGAGATTATCTGGTTGTATGCTCCCTCCTCCTCAGTCTCTTCATCATCTCAGTGCATTTCTGGCTACTGGAACACCCATGAACTGTAAATCCTCCATAAAAATTTTCTCAGACCCCTCAGTGTGGTATCCACTCACACCAAAGGGTTTGGGTTGAGATKTTCAAGCAATAGCCTGCTCTCCAGRTTTCTCCAGAGCAAGGAACTTTTGCCTTTTGCTTGGGGAGCACCTGGGACATCATCATCAAATAGTCTCGGTTGGAAGTGACCTTTAAAGATTGTCAAGTCCCAACCCCCTGCCATGGGCAGGGACACCCTCTTTTAGACCAGGTTACTCAAAGCCGCATCCAACCTGGCCTTGAACACTTCCAGGGATGGGGCATCCACAACTTCTCTGGGACAGCTTTTCTTGTGCCAGTGTCTYCCCACCCTCACAGTACAGAATTTCTTCCTAACGCTCTTCCAGTTAAAGCCATTACCCCCTTGTCCTATCACTATGTGGCCTTCTGGTGATAAAAATTTACATTTTCAGCAGCACTTCTCAATTTGAAAAATGTTATGTAATTATCTTATGACTCATTAATCTTTTCTGGTTGTGTTTGATTTTGGTTGTACTAAGTTAGTTTATGGGGAGCCAGGAGAAGAGGTGAATAATGGAGAGGATGTAATCTTCCTTTCCTTTGCAGAGCACCATGTAGTGCTAAAGTGTTCCTAAAAGTTTCAGTTGCACCAGAGAAGTCTTGATCYGAGAAAATGAGTCTTATACTTGAGACCTCTTTGAAGTTCCTGAATTTGATCAGGCTTCTTTATAAATTGTTTCCATCCAGTCAAGAAGCAAACAATCTCTGCCTGAGCTGCCTCTGTAAATCCAGCTGTTTGTGCAACTCCTTTGTCACTGGTGAGATTGATTTGTGGAGCTGATAGACAAAGGTGGGTGTTGTAAGCCGAGAAAAACAAAGGCATATTAGATAGGGTTAGAGTCACAAATGCCTTGTTTTTTGCATTTTAAGAGGGGTGTGGTAAATATGATGTTTATAGCGAGAGATGTTTGGAGTGTTGATTTTATGCTGAGGAAAATTAATASGAARTAYCTATGGAGAAACATGTTTCATCCYGAAACTGTTGTGCTAACAGAGAGCTCCAGCTCCTTCCTGTGGCAACCAGTTATCACTGAATCTCCAGAGACTCAGAGGATAATGTGTTTTGGAAAAGATCTCAGCATKGTGTCAAGTCTGACACCCAGCTCAAGATAGGAATGACCTGGAGAAGGCTGCTCAGAGTGGTGAAAGTCTTGGCACAGTACCTACTGGAGACGTGGAAGGGATTTCCACAACTCCAGCTGATGGTACTTTGGGCCATAGTTCCCCTTTATGTTTCTGATATATTATCCTTCAGACTGAGCTTGGCGTAGCAGCTGATGGGAAGAGAAAGCATGAGCTGCCCCTCTGAATGCTACAGCCACTGCTCTGCTGTACCTGGGCAGCTTTTCYGAGGGGATGGGACTGAGCCACCCAAGCAGCMGTGCACAGAATGGCCCCAGGTAGTYGGGATGCATGATTTGCTTCTGTCACATCAGGATGCAAACGGCATATTAATATTGGTGCTGCTGAAGAACTGGCACCAARGTCATCTTCTGATTGTTTAATAGGAAAACAAGTGGTCTATATACTCTGCTGAATGTGCATTATGCCCCTGCCTCATTAGACTCCCACTGATGCCTGCTGATGCATGGTACTCCTCCACAGAAACTTTCAAGAGGCTATGAACTGTTGATGATTAAAAAAAAAAAAWAAAAMATTTAAAAACCTGCCTTCAACTAAGTAGTCTCCCTGTGAGTGGTTTTAAATCCCTCAGGAAGACTATCTCCAAAGCTTGAGTATTAATGAGTAGTGCATTTAAAGACCTTAAATTGACTACAGGTTTAAAGGTTCATGAAGACCTTTCAACAGAAATGATCTACTTCCAAAGTGGGGAGACATTAGAGAAACAAGGTTATATTGCTGTAAATTGTAAGAAACCTGATTTTTTAACCAATTTCAATTCACATATACCAGAGAAGCCTATAAAAGAAACTTTGTTCAAAAAGAAGGGGAAATAAGTGGTTTACTAGCCTTACTTTGTATCTCTGCATTTGGGTGGGGGCCATCTTATTTGCTTGTTTGCTTCATCCACTGTTACCACTTCTCCCATAGAGTGAGCTTTGGAGAGCCGCTGTCAGCATGTATGTTTGTACAGCAACTTACACAGTGGGCTAAGCCTCCAGGAGCCACCAAAATTGGAAACAGCTGACACAGTGGTACCAGCCTTTCCAAAGGCTAACAACTCTGAAATGGCTGGTGCCAGAATTGCCCAGAATTGAGTGCTTTGATCCAACTTTCAGCAAAGAGTTGAATTTGCTGGAATTCATCTCATCCTAATACAGGTGTTTTAAATGTGTCAGAAGAATCATGCTCCAGAAATGCCCCTTTTCTTACTAGTAAGGCAGTATTAAGGCAACTAACTACCTTAAATGAGATTGCATGTATGGTCTGCATGGAAGCCAAATCCTATTTGCAAAATGATTACTAYAAAGATAGACATAAAGGAAAGAAAAAACTGCTCTGAATTTTTCACCTTCCATTTAAACAAAACACTTACTGAGCAAGCATCATTAATAGGCTGGGAAAGTCATCATATCTTCCTTAGAGTTTACCTTATCTATGTTTGGATTCATCCACTGTAGCAGTCAGCATTTGAGCTAGTGACTTCAAGTTCCCCTTTTACTCAGTGAGAAGACATAGCATGCTCAGAGCATTTCACCTACTTGAAATATCTTGTGATACAACAAATCATGACACATATAATGCAGATAGGGCAGAAGAACCTGCTTCTCTTCACTGGCCATCCAGTTTTCCTCTGCAGCATTGACAGAAAACCAAGTTCTGGAACTGCCCAAGAGCAGATGCACCTCAGAACATCTCTTTTTGCTCTCTATGAGGAAGATGACAATCCTGGGAATGTCTAAAAATAACTCCTAGGCTTCTCTCTATATTAGAAGGGAAGGAGGTTTCAGCCTAAAAGGCAAGGAATAATTTAGGATAAGGGACAAGAGCCAGATCCTGGACAGGAGAGGTGATTCTTCTGTCCTTAGCTGCTAAGAARAAAAAAGGAATGAGCAAAATTGGAAGGTGCTCATCCTGGAGCAAAGGTGCTACTGGAGAAGAGGGGCAATAAACATGCTTATAAACCATGTTACCAGTACCTGATCACTGATGGCAGAGGGAGCTGAGGAAAATGCATTTTTTCAAGCTGATACCTTTGAAGTCTGCTAAATAGTAAATGACACACTTGGAATTTCTGTGTATTATTATTATTATTATTATTATTATTATTATTATTATTATTATTATTATTATTATTATTATTATTGGATTTCATTCTGCAAGAGACTGTAAAGTTTTTCCTAACTCACAGTGACACTGCTGATGTCAAATGGTGACAGAATAGGGTTCTTCACACATAGAAATTTCCTATAGATGTTCATATTACTGCTCAAACTGAATGATAATTTATCCTTCTGTGCCCTGCTAATTCTGCAGGCAGCTGAAGAGGCATTGAAATTAAGTAACTGTTAGTTTACTCACTGTCTTTCCAGTGAATGTGATTTCCTTTTGCATGTGTGATACACCTGAAGATTTCAGACGTCCTCTTCTAATTATGGAGCAAAATGTGTAGCACCAGATATTGTGTGGGAAGAAAAGAAATATTCTGAAAAACTATTCTTTTCCCTCATGATACTTCTACCTCTACAGAGGAATGAGATTGGAAAAGTTATCACTCTTTCTAAGCCTTACATAAAAACAATTTTCAGTGGACTGTTATGCCTGGAAAGAAATAATACTTGACTCTTTCAACAAAAGGAAAGACCATCAAAATGTAGTTAGTTTCATCTGTTTCCTCAGACAAGGTTTCCAAGTAAACAGCATTTTGCAGGGATGGGATTAGGGTATGGGCAATAGGTTTCCCTGCTTCCAGAATTAATACAGACAAGGTTCTGCATATCGATTCAYTCTTCACTTGTTTGTGGCTTACACTGCCTCACCATCCTCTGCAGGCAAGGCAAAAGCTCTGCAARTGATGAAGCCTGCATCTAAGATGGGAACCCATCCATGGAGGTGCATGGAGTGACTGGCAGGGAAGCCCTCTCCATCAGATCCSAGCGATGCAGTCAGAGCCCAAAGACTGGCCCAGTACCGAGGATGGACACAGCTGATTCCCATCTCCTTCTCATTGCATCCTTTGAGTGYGGGACTTTCTGTTCCCAAGGTGACTGATAAAATAATTATTTGCTTCTTCAATGCACAGAATTAWTTCCCTTAATTTCCCTTTTCTGAATCACAGTTCAAGTCCCTTTTAGGTGTACCCTTGATATCAACACAGCGGTCTAACTACAGGCAGTCCTAACTTTAAAAAAAAACTACATCAATACTGTAGAATGGATAGGATTCTGTTTACGTGCCAGATACATATGCAAATATGTATGTACTTTGCAAAAAAGCACTAGGAGTTAATATTTTTTTTAACTCATAGGCATATATTTAAATTATTATTTTTTTCTTAGGAGCATGTTGGTTTTCAGTGCAGCAGTACCGTATCCTACTGTGTTGACAGTATCAGACTACTCGGATTGTCCCAAATGCTCTGATAAGGCTTCTGTGCTGAACAAGTCCTGAGGGCTCTCTCCTCTTGCCAAATCCCAGGAGAGACAGGAGAGCCTTAACTCCTCAGAGGATTTGTTGTCCCGTCGTGCTTTGCAGTAGGGATACAGGAATTACAGTTTAGTCCTTCAGTTCACTAGATAAAAGTCAACTTCACTAGATAAAAGTCAACTCCATGCATAAGTTGTGTGCACCTCATAAGGTTCTCTTCTGGACTTGAAATTAGGATATAAGATGAATATAAATGGCACAGAGATTTGACTTTGGTTGCCTGCAGAGGGGTGAATTTCACCTACTAGRAGCAGCTACAGCCAGATTTTCAAACCCACGTGAAAGTGCTGGGAATTCACACCATTTACTGGCTTGGCTGGGGAATGAAGATGCTCACAGGAAATGTTTGACACTTTTGCAGGAATTTGGCTTATTTTGTACTAGAGAACAGATATGCTATACCTGAATTTCTAAACTTATTTTACTGGCATCAGAGTAACTAGAAACCACAAAATGAAAAAAAAAAAAAAAAGGAGATTAGGCTATGTATAGGTATATTTACATCTACATACATCTACATATAGAAGCTTCTGTTCATGGGAATTCTATAAGCCACTGCCTGCAATAGCATCCATCCTAAGGGAATTCTAGAGATGATTCTTAAGAGACTGAGGAGATTGGGTTGTGAGGTGAGCCCATCTGTGTCAGCACCTTATCCAGCCATTGCAATGGTCCATGCAGGTGGATCTCAATCCAGCAGGGCGTACTTGTAACATCTTGGCGATGATACTCTGCTCCCCATCCCTATAAAAGGACCAAAAAGTGTTTTGTTGGGTTGTTTTTTTTTTAAATACCCAAAACATTAAATCACAACTCCAGTGCTSATAGTCTAACACAACTATAGATAGCCCATCACCCCCCCTGGCCCCCAAGATTTGCTGCTCTATCCTAGTGATAATTATCTCTAGAACTTTGCTCCTTTTTAAGGTCATTGTTACCATAATTACCAGGGACTCTATGCAATTAAATTAAGAATCTCAGTCACACTTCCAGRTGCTGAGAACAACTGGCATGGAAAGGCCTCTTTTCCAAGCTTGGCTGCCTGCAAACAGCCCATGGGGAATAGTCCCTGTTGTTTGCATCCCGGAGACATGCCCAGGAAAGTCTGGCAGACAGCTGTCTGGCACAGACAAAAAGCAGGCCAGCCTCTTTCATTAACTGGAACTGGGAATGATCCTGGGCTCTGCTTCATTTCTTGGTAGAGATTCATCCTGTGAGTCTGAGATCCTAGAATTTCTAGRTATTTTTCTAAACTTCTGGAAACTTCCAGTTCCTATGTACCATACTTAAGCTATRTATAAATATTTTCCATAGGTTTTCTATCCATGAACATGTCCTCTCTCCCAGTGAGAGTTCCCAGCCATCTGCTGTGGGAAGTCCTTCAGTAATTTCTCCAGTTCTTTTGGGGAAGATAAGGGATATGAAGCATTTGAGAGGAGTTGGGGTGCTGGAATGGAAACAACAAAGCCTGAAGTCCCCATGACTCAAAAGGCAGGTTTAAGTTAGGTATCAGGAAAAGACTTTTCTCCCAGAGGGTGGTTGGGCACTGGCACTGCACAGGCTCCCCAGGGAAGTGGTCACAGCACCAGCCTGACAAAGTTAAAGAAGCGCTTGGGCAGTGCTGTCAGGCACGTGGTGTGACTCTTGGGGATGGTGCTGTGCAGGGCCAGGAGCTGGAGTAATGATCCTGATGGGCCCCTTCCAACTCAGGATATTCTGTGAATCAAGCAGACACCATGTCTGCTCCCTAAGCAGGCAGCCTGATGTCACAGCAACACAAGGCATGTGAGTCGCAGCCAAAGTCTTGCAGCTCACCAGCTGTCTCATTAGCAGAACTGAACTCTGATTTCCATAGGGCAATGTGGAAAACGTGGTCCCACTACAGGATGGGGATCTTCATTTGTGGGATGCTGATCAGAAACTGAATCATGCCTGTCATTATGATAGGCAGGTTGGTATTCTTATAATGAGAAAAGGATATGAGAGTATATTAAGACTGATGGCTRCCAAAGTCACCAAAATTTTAGAGTGCTGAACAACTGAGACAACTGAGGCTGCTAGATACCACTTCTTTAGGTGATAGCTGCAAAACTAGGATCAACACCAAAACTAGATGTCAACATGAGTGGTCTGGATAAAATCCATTGGTAATTAATGAAGAAAAGGGGAAAGAAACCAGAAGAGTAAGATATGGACCAYCAAACCCCAGAGAGTGCTTCTGAACATGCGGCATTTTTCTGAACTGCAGAGCATTTACCATACTAGAAAGGGCCTCTGTTCACAGAACCTCACTGATGTTTTGGAAATGTTTGCATAAAATGCCAGCACAGTCAGACTTCTGGGATGGTGAAGTCACAAGTACTYGGCTGCAGTGAAGATACACAGCCASGAGGGCAAGAGTCAGAGGAACTRGCACACCTTGCTGACAGGCAGGACAGAAAATCCAGAGGAATTGCAATTACAGGATTCAAGGCCAACCTGCCAGATCTGGGGGAGCCTGGTAGGCAGCTGGCCATCTCCCTCTGCTGGCAACTCCCTAACACTCCCAGTGATGCTTTCTCTGGCTGGAGCACCCCCAGGGGAAAAGCCAGGAGGGCAAGGACCCCAGTACTCTCTGTACATCACATTTGGGTTGCAGGTAGTCTMCTTCATCCCAGGGCTGAAAGGAGCCTGGAGCTGGAGCTCTCTTGATGAGGGAATAAAAGGAGTGCAACTTGCAAAGCTGCAATGGTGTTTTGCGCAGATGGTGGGAAGAGGATACCAGTATTCCCACAGGGTCCTGCTGCTCCTGCCAGCACTTGCCACCTCTGTGGGCAACAGTTCTCTCCAACCTTGGCTCCAGCCATGTCCCAGAGTGCTGAACTTTCAGGTCTGCTGGGTGTTCCCCTTAGACCCAAGACCTGGAAAAATARGGGAGAGATTGTGCTGGGTTCCTGAGCCAGGACCTGAGCTTGGAGAAACTCTCCATCTCTTCCCTTTGTGCTTCAGCTGCCTTGGCTGTGGAGAGCTGACAAGAGCAGTCTTTTAGCTACCAGCAGTGCTCAGTGGATGGAAGCTGCTGTCACTGATGATACACCCACATTTGAGCTGCTCCCAGCTGCTCTGTGGGCACACAAAGGGTATCAGAGGGGACAAGACCTTCAGCTCCCTCTGTTCCATGCCTTGCCTCCAGAAGATGGCACAGTCCTGGCGAGTTTCTCATGACTTGGTTCCTACCCATCGCCTCCTCCCAGCTGGCAGCTCAAGCATTGCTAGGGTCAGAGGCAGGGTCTCCAGACATTTGTCTTTGCTCACCCYGTGGGCTGTGGGTGACCAGCAGTACCTGGACACAAGTCAAGAGGAGAAGCCACAGAACCTGAGGGCTCTCTTGGGCTGTGGCTCTGACAGACAACACACTCTTCTGGGCACTGCATCCCCAACACCCAGGGACACTCCTGACCCCAGACTGAACACAGCAGGGCTGACACCTTWGAGGGGAAATATTTTGAGAAGACTGAGTACAGGAAAGGCTATTTGCAGGCCAGGAAGAAAGAGCCTAGATGAGATTTGCATAGCAATTTTCCAAGCGTCATGGGAAAGAGTTCAAAATAACTCCTTGCACTGGTCCTCTGGTGCCTGAGGCACTRTAATAGCTGCTATTATTTCAACAAAGCAAGGTGATTATATGGCAGTGGCATTATATAGTGCATCAACACCACCATTTCTGCTGCCATGCTGGGCATGGAGGCAGATAACACATCAAAGAGCCTGCCCCCAGTTGCTGAGATAATGAAAATATTGCGTAACTGGCTACACTGCCTTTACAAACAACGTGCCCATTCAYGTCTTCCATTAAATAAAATGCTGTTTGTTGGGTTTCTTGCTTTCTTTTTTTTTTTGCCCTAATACTTGCGTGTGAACAAGATGTCAGTTTTTCCCAAGAACAAAGCAACAGCATGGTCGTGGAGACTATCTCCCTCATGGGCATGGAGATTTCGGCTTGGTCTCTTGGGARAAGAGAGGAGATGGGTCCCCAAGGATTGCTAGAAAAATCAGACCAGAAAGATGTGTGGGACTCAACTCATCGGCTCTGCAGAACATGAGGAAACTGGGCTCAAGCCTCAAGCAATTTTTTAGTATCTTAGATGTGAATTCAATTGTCTCAATTCAGTCATTTGTATAGAAACAAATCTGCAAGACAATGGAACATACTCAAGCCATTTTTTATGGTACCTAGCAGGACCGCTGGCTTCTAATAGTGCAACTCCTCCAGTCTGCAGGCTGAACATGGCCCTCAGCTCTCCCCAGCAGTACTACAGCAAGTCGGTCTAGCATAATTGGGAAACTATCTCGGGATATTTGCTTTGCTATTCTTTGGGGTTTAGATGCTACAGCAGGCATGTAAGTAAATTCAAAGTACTAAAAGGAGTTGAGAGATCTCATTCTGGTGAGAAGGCCATTCAGAAGATTTGAGAAAGCCCCAGAAAAAATTCAAAAGATTTGAGAAAGACTGATAGATTTCACACAGAGCAGTCAGATTGTGAAGTTCGGATTTGAAGGACCTCAGAACAGTAATGGCTTTGGTGGCCTCCTGTCTCTTCCAAATAGCAGGGGGAAGGTCAGATGTTCTTTTGGGTTTTCTATTCTGCTTGCAAGAAGCCCTTCAGGTTGTGTGGCTGGCCACAGTGAATGTCTTCAGAAAGTAAGACAGTGTTTTGCCAGGAATCAGGCAGCTGGTAAACAAGAGCAATTCTCTGCAAGCTCAGTAAGGGATGAAAAAGGACCCAGTGTTTCTTGATTGAGACCATATACACCAGCCTGTGGTACTGGTGAGAATGTATATTAGCCTAGAGACTGAAGGACATTCTTTTCAGATCTATGGCTCTATCAAGCTCTATTGCAAACCAGTAACAGCAGGAGAGATCACAACTGCCTAAGATATGTGCTACAACATTTATATTATGCTAAGCCCTTCTAAGCAGAGCTTTTTGAACAGTCTRTCAGGGAACATCACCATGCATTCTCTGCCTATTTTCCACAGAGAGTCTGTCTTAATTTTGTAATCTAAGAGATTTCCAGGTTGACCACAAAAGCTAATTCTGAGCAACTGTAAATTTAAGGCTATACTGGAAAACTGGCAGTCTAGATTGCTGCTTGAAAGTTGTGTGTCTAAATCCCCACTTGGAACGGATTTGTTGTGATACAGTTTTGCACCAAARCTAGCAAGGATGCAAGAGAAAGCAAAGAATCCTTACTTTCACAAAGCTCATTCGAATAGTACACATCTTGGTCAGCTCATACACCACTTCAAAACCATGATTGACGGACTGGGCGAGCAGCTGGGCGAAGAGCTGGTTGTTGAAAATCTTGAGGCTGCAGCCACTGGGGATCTTGCARACTGTGGCTGGGTGGAAACCATGCTGGTAGTTACAATTGCGGCTTTGCACAAAAATGCTGCTGTCACTGACACATTCGGCATAAACTTCCCCACCGACATAATACAGATGAACACCTTGAAAAATAAAATATAACATGTTTTATTTCTGYATTATTCACAACACACTTTATGCCAGTAATTCATTATTTTACCTGTTTGGGCATCCAAGCCCAGGATCCTTCCAGGATCTTTGTTTCTCAGTGCAAGTTGGTTTATTTCTTTTCCCCAACAGCACAGTACTTTATGACAAGATACACATACATAAACTTTAAACACATGTCAGCCATATACTAARCATCAATCAAAACTATCCAAAAACTGAAAAATCACTATTGCATTACACAGCTAAATGTATTTTCACTGTTAAGCAAATGCACACTGGCCAAGACCCACTTCACTGTACGCTGTTGTTTTATTATAGGTTCCTACCGTCATACAGTTAAAACACAGCATGATGCATACTTAAAATAGCTTTTCTGTATTTTTGCTTTATACACCASATCAGAACCATGCATTTGCATTTCATGATGTGATTTATTGATCAGATCCTATTCCAAGTGACCTTTCGCAAGAAAATGACTGTTTTTCTTCTGAACTGTTCAGTGCCCAAGTGACTCACCATCACTAACTCAAATTTTGACTGTGACTTGGGAAAAATAGGGTGGAAGCACTTCTATCCCTTCAAATACTCTGATCCAGAAAGAATATCTGTTTGCTTGAAGACATACCTGAATTGGTGGGAGAATTTACCTTAGCCTAACTCAGCAGCCTTGAAGTTAGCAATCATGTAAGATGGTTGYTGTGTAGGTGCCTTCATTAGCTGATAGATGGAGAGGCACTGTGACYAGATGATTCACTCCATCTGCTACAGAGTGCAGGCTCAGAGCCAGCCTAAACCCCCCGAAGTCTATGCAGGTGCTGAAAAGGCTCTGCCATTCCCTGCCCCTGCTGGCACACCTACTTTCATGCTGGCAGCAACAACTGGGGACTGGGCAGCTGCCCAGGCTGAGGAACTGAACTAGCTAATAAACTTAAAAACAAACAACACAGAATTTATTTGCCATGAGATCTAGTGGGATCTTCATCAGTGCGAGTATGGCAATGGGGTCCCTGACTACTGAAACGTGAGCATGAAGCCACAACCTGAAAAAGGGACAAGTCATYCTTTGAAAATGCCCAGACAGTCACCCTTCTCATGGCTAGGTAGGGGAAATGAACCCCTACCATAGTCAAAAGATGTGGAAGAACTCAGTTCTTTGTTCTTGTAAAAACTACCACTAAATAAAAATAAAATCCTCCTCTCTTATGCCAGGTATGCCAAACACACACAAATGGTCACAGAACATCGATGGACTGCCTGCAAAAGTAATGGCAACTCTGCTTTAATAATGCAGCTGTAATTGGTGTCTTTCATACTCCCAGTCTGTTCATCATTCTGCAGTCATAACAACAAAGGGYAGCAGTGCATCCTTAGGACAAAACCAGCCTCTAAACATGAGTGGGAAAGGCAGGAAAACAGCCGAAACCAGCCTCTAAACATGGGGGAAAGCAGGTTGAGTGGGAAAAGAACCTGGGAAAAATATGCTCTCCCATAGTCTTCCAGGATAACTCAGATGGGAACTTTAAAGCCTGTCTTCAAGGCATCACTTGACTCCTATGTACCCACAAGATCTCAAATTTCAAATCTTCAGGTGTGGCTGCTGATTTAAAGTCACCACAGTGGATGCTAAGGTGAAAAATAATTAAGTCTGGATTTTCAAAGTGTGCTAGGTAACCCCTTTTCTGAAAAAAAAAAAAAGTGCTTTCAAAGGCATTGCCCAAACATTGTGCTATAACAAAAATATCAATGTCACTTCTGAAAGCAGAGGTTACAAATTGCTTTTTCCTTGTGAACTTTTTAAAAGCAGTAATTATAGCATTATTCAATATGTGTTTCTATTATTCCAGTATTCATGCACCAGAGAAAWGCACCCTCGAGGAAACCAAACAGCTAAATACATACTTGTAGAAGACCAAATAAAAGGTCCATASGTTTTAGTGGTATTTCATTGCTCCCTGCAGAAACTGAAAGTTCAGCAGTCTCCAAGTATCCACATTTTTCGACACTGATCGAAAGTTCCTTTTTTGTCCTTGAAGTCTGACTGCTGAAACGGGTCCAATTGCTCGTAGATGTTGCATTGTGTTCTGGATTGTTTTTAGCTTTGATGTGGTATTTCCAGGAAACAGTTTCATGCTGATACACTAGCTGACAATTCAATCACATATCCTTATCCTACTGAGCTAATCTTGTTTACTGTTTTTTCTCCYGTGTTAACATGTGACAATTGTATCAATTTCAGCAGCTTTCATCTGTCCACGATGCCTTTGAACTACACGCTTCTGGAGCTGCCCTGTGCTCTTCTGCAAGCCTGCACTGGTGCCACTTGTACTCCACTTGTATATGTTTTTTTAGGATTTGCATAAACAGGGAACAGCAGTAAAATTAAGGATCCCTGATATATTAASGTTCTCTCTGGGCAACCTGCTCCCTTCCCTTGGGCACATTCCTAATGTAGGACTTTAAAGGACTTTTAATCAATTAAGACTGATCTTCACATTTAAATGGATGAAGACYATTAGCATTTACCTAACTATTTCTGTTCTGTCTCTTCCTCTTTTGGGGCAGAAAGTCACAGGCTGTAACATCCCCAAATGACAGCTGGGATCTTTTGGCATTCTTTTAGGGCCAGGCTCAGCTTTGATCTGCATCCTTCTGACAGCTTACACTGACAGGGTGTAAATCTTTGCTTTTTTTTCCACATTAGTTGGGGCTAGATGTACAACACATTGGCACCCCTCACAATGAACCACTATGGCAGACTCTTGTAGCATCTGCAACGTAAGTGTTTTCCATTCCAGGGAAAAGTGCAAGACCTTAGTACAACATTCCCGGCACCAGCCTTCAGGTTCACTGCTGTTTGCAAAAACTTTATCACATTTGTCTCAGGACTGCCTCGTATTCAGTCATTCAACACTAGACTATCAAGGGCCAATTAAAATATTGCTCTGGGCCTGGGAAATGAGGTGAGGTTGACAAGATAATAGGAGTGGAAAAATTAGAGTTAATTAGCCCAGTGGGAAATGCATTCCCAGGCAGCTACTGGTGAGAGGCTGTGTTGGCAAGACAATGAGTCTGGACTGGATATACCAGAAGAGGCAAAGCTTCATCTGCACAGAGAAGTGGCACAGGGCTTCTGACTCACCACCAYAAACAGCAGTAAGTTCTGGGACAACATCAGGCCCTACACAGCCCTGGGGAGCTGGGACAGTGTGTGTGGCCAAGCGTGTCCAGGTGTGGTCTCCTCCAACTTGGCACCAGCAGCACGTGAGGGTGTGTGGAYACCAGAGGCAGAGAATACAGAGTTGCACCAGCAACCACTGGTGGGACAATCCAAACCTCATTTTTACTAGTGGAAAGCTGTCAAGGCAGGGAATTGGACTGGCAGTGGRGAAAAGCTACAAAGACAGCTCTGGTAGAGTTCTTCAGCTAAGTAACTCAACTCCTAAGTGTTTCATCCATCTCCCTTTGTTATTTGGTGGGAGGAGAACSAGCCCTGAGGCACCAGCAATTATCCTTTTAGTGGCATTTCAATGGCAATATTCCCAGCTGCCAGAAGCACTAATAAATAAAATGAAAATACATACTGCTAAATTAGAACACACAACTATAAACAACATTTTTCTCTCTGCTGGCCAAGTAAATAGCTTTTGTAAGGAGTTACTCTGCTGATGGTTATCCAGTCAGAAAAGAATCTGCTTTTCTTCTATTTCAGAAGTAATCTCAGTAAAATCAAGGCAAACACATCTGACAAACCAGCTMGGTTTGTTCATGCAATGCATGGATCTTTTGAGCTCTGAATATTATTCCTAAGGAGAGAGGATTTCCTCTTACCTTTTCCTATGTGTCTCCTGGTGTTTTCTATAGTAGAATTGCGGTTTACATTTGAGAGCAGACCCAGGCAGAACCTGTTTTTGTTATTTGAAGGATCTGTAAATCCATCTATAAGGATACTTCGAGAGGAAGCCTGGAAAGTCTCTCCTACCCGGTTGTTGAGTTCATAGTAGGCAACTGARCACCAGTGTTGGGGTTCCTCATAACAAACAGGCCGAAAGTCTGCAGAAAATAAAGTTAAGCAGCTGCTCAGGTTTCAGCAATATTTTTAAAACAATCTTTCTCTGTTCTCTTTCATTCCCTCCCACTCTCAGCCCCCRTCTCTTCATCTAAACAGTCACTTATGTCATGCTTTATCCCAACAGCAGCTTCTGTTGCTTCTTGATTTTATGACTGAAGTCCCAAACATGCAAAAGGTTGGTGAACCAGCTTAACTCTGAGCTTCTGAGGAGCCCGACTACTTCTTAGAAGTGGTGACTCCACTATTAAATCAAGCACACTGACATTCCTTGCTGAACTGGGGCCCAAACTATACACTGAAAATAGTAAGGGATACATGTGTGCTCTGCACACCAGCAGGAGATAGGGATGACAGATGGGCTCAAAGCAAGTCAAAACTGAGCCAAGTTTCTGGTCTTAGGCCTTCAACCTAATACCAAACTCTGTAGTTCAGAAGTAATAAATCACTCCAATCTTTGCATGCTTTCAGGCTTTCTGCTTCCATGTGGGACTCTAAGCAGAAATGTCAGTAAGGTCATTTCTTTTGGATCTATCCCTRCCCAGGTTTTCTAAGTCAGAGACAGAGACAGACTCAAAAATGTAACAGAATCTCTGAGCCTCATTTGTCCTACAGGAATTAGTAGGAAACTTTATCCTGCCTGCTCACCACAGGCATGTGAGCCCGCCTGCCCCCAGAGCACCTCTGTGCACAACCTCTAATAAACTTCCAACTAATATCCACTAGGATCAGTGATCAGAGATGGTGAACTATGATAAAGAGATTAAACTAGCTTGACAATTTATTTTAAAGTATTGGTGACTGATGACTTGTTATTATCTAGCCATTCTGTGTACCCATCCATAATTAGCACTATCCCCGTCACATTCCCTCTGCTCCAGTTCCATGCTRCAAACACACTCCTTGCTGTTTCAGAAGGCTGGCAGTATTTCTTTAATGTGCATGTGTGTGCAGTATTCAGTCCTCACTCTTGAAACAACATTTCTTTAGGAACACAATATGATGGAATAAAAGAGCAATGGTGATTTTTCCTTTGCAATATTAGGAAGCCAAAGCAAAAGCCAGCAGAGGAGCTCCATTTCCCCTTCCTTCTCTGCAGCAATGGGCTGTGAATGGTGGAGGCATCACCTGCCAGTACCAGCCCAAAGATAGCAGAGAGGTGCTGGAGAGGTCATCAAGTTGCTTTGARGGGTGTGAGGAGGATCCCAGACCCTTCTTTGACCATTCATGCCTTTCCCAATAAAGAATTCTTATAAGACAACAAAGAGTTTGGACTTCTGTCAAAATCTCTTTGTACTCCACTAGAACATGTCCTTTTCTTTTCTAGCCAGCCAGTAATGTAACATTAATACAAAGATGGCAGTAAAAAGGTCCATACCACAAGACTTTAAAGTACTTGAAACCTAGAGCTGAAGGCGATAAAGAAATGAGTTCTGATATTRATAATGCATTTGTGGGTTATATTGTGCCACCAGCCTTGGTTTGATATGTTTATCTTTACAATGTAGATAACAATACAGTGTTTGCTTTCATTAACAGCTTTTTAGCTGTAATAGCCCATGGATGCAAATAAGGTCTAAATTCTGTAACTTTGCACATAATTCATAGCAATCTTACATCAACCAATGCTGGTAGCTAATGGATAGGTCTAGCACACTGTCTTACTGCAAAATCGCCTAAACTTATTATTACATGTCACTAAACCTTCTTGTGCAAGCRACAATTTCTTTTCTTAAGTTTTTTATTTAAAGAATAGTACAAACGGTTATTTACTTTCAGCTTCTCCATCGGCAGATTTACCTCCATTGGGCAAAGACAGCACTAGTTGACTTTCAGCTATTGCATCCATTGCCCGTCCAYTGTGGATTCCTGGAGGTTCTCTTGCATGGTAGGGCGGAGGAGGAGTTTCCACTACAGAAGAAAAGAAAAAAGAAAGGAGAAAGAAAGGAACAAAGACACCTAAGTCACCATGTTGGTAAATTCCTCCTGTTTTTTCCTGATGAATATTTTACTACTTCAGTACTGTTTGGCTAGAGAAGCACTGGAAAGAGCACAAATCTGAATCTGACCTCCCTTCAGTCTYTAGTTCAAGACCACTGCATGTTCAAGAAAGATGGGAAGGAAGGGCTGTCATGTTGRACATGCAGCTCTTGAGAGAGTCACTACAGTGACCTCAGGCCTGGACCCATGTCCAATCAAGCTTCTCTCTTAACACCAGTTGTTACCCTAAGAAAGCAATGCAGTTTTACCCTTTAGTTCCAGACTTCTCACCTTAATTTAAAATTTGAGGAGGATTGTTTAAGAGCAGAAGCTAACTTTATTTGATCCTCTCGAAGAAAGCTCTTTCTTCATAGTTTATAAAAAAAGCCTATGGAAAGCTATAGAAATCAGAAAGCTATAGAAACTTGGCAGAAGTCCCTCCAGACTTGTTCTTTTTCCCTCTGTCCTACAAGGGAAGCCTGTCCCTCTCCTGGTTTRTTCAGTCTCCCATCAAAGAGCAATGGATGTCATGAAAACATTGGGAGGAAATGCATCAACTCACAACTTCTCAGCTCCTGATTTGTTTCGTTTACAGCAACATGAGGTAGAAAACAGGAGGTGCCGCTATAGTGGGGATTCTCCAGATAGGCAAAATGCCAAAGAAAGCCAAAGAAAAAAAGAACTTCATTTTCATAAAATGTCAACATTCACTGCATAAGCATGAAAAGTGTGTAGTTTTGTTCATTTGAACAGAAACTCAGTGGGCTTATGTGCAAATTATAGTCATATACAAGCCTGCAGGACCAAAGCTYCTTTAAAAAGGGTTTTACTTGGTCCCAGGTTTGAATTTCCTCTTGTGTTTGGGGTCTGTTGGCTGGCCCTCAAAACAGAACAGCTTCACCCCGAGTGGGTAACCGTGAACTGTCTCATGAGACAACCACTGAATCTTCCAAGTAAGTGCTGCACAGGAATTTTACTCTMTTTAAGCACTGTTCAGGATTTAAGAATTTCATACACTATAGGGTATTTCTAACATTTAGGTGACATAACCCTCCAACAAAAAATAGTAAAACAAAATCAAGAAATAGTGGAAGGCAAAAGTTAGAGAAAGGAATATAATCACAGAATCAGGTGGTTATATGGATACTTTTGATGCCTAAGCTAGTCACCTTTAAGTCTCCTTATACCCACTAAAGAAAAATAGGAACCTGCAGACACAGTGTATTRAACATATACAAGAAGTTCTAGGAGTGCCTGTTTATCTCCACTGACTACAGGGAGTGTACAAACAATTTCATGAGATGCAGAAATTTGCATTGTTGACATCTGTATTTGGTCACAGCAATCCCTCTCAAGGTTCTTGTTGTAACTCCAGTTTGCTGTAGATAAACTTCCATCCCAGATGGTTACATAGGCAAATTATGCTTATCAGTGTGCCGAGTGGTGTGATATTCTGCAGCTCAGGTTGAGCCAYTTCCATTATTAAGCAGCTTTGCAAGGTCCCAAGTTCAGTAAAATGCACGAGTCAGAGTCATTACACAGCTGGAATGGGCCTGATTTACCTGTCAGGACCAGCTCCACTGAATCCAGCTTGCTTACATAGAGGTGAAAGAAAAAATATTGGAGAAGACAAACAAGTCTTACTGCTTGATGAAATGTTTCAATGTTGCTAAATATGATTTAATCAGAAATAGAGATCTAGGGAAGAAATGAATGAAGTCACATTCAACAAATTAAGAGAGAAGGAATAACATCACATTGTGTTGAAAGTATTCAGCTTAAAAGGAAGTTCAAATAATACAAACAACTTGTAAAATAAACATCTTTCTARCACATAAAATGAGAASAGGTATATCATTAAGGCCCTGAATTTAAATKCTTCATAGTTGAGACGCTAAAATCTTAAATTACAAGATTCTGATCTGAATTCATCATTGTGAAAAAGCTGACACAATTGAAATTATTTGAAAGTTAAAGTGCTGAAGTGAATCCCAGCCATGTTTTGATATTAAAACTAGCTCTCAGCTGTGTTGCATTAACAGCAAAAGCACAGCTAAATTTTCAGGTAATTAGAGCTGTACTAGGTCAGGAGTTCACAACACAAACAATCTGAGTGACATAACCCTGCTAATGTCAGAACTGTGGAACACGTTCCAAAATCATAGGAATTTGCCTGGTGACTTATCCAAGTGTTGGGCCAGATTGTTAAACACCTTAACTTTCTGAAATTTATATAGTCAGTGGGATCACCATACACTTGAAAAAATTTCTGCTCAGTAGTTTCCCCATTTTATCTTGTCTCTTGATGGAGTTTCTAAAGGCTCCTACCCTGATCATCTTAGGTTCCTAACTTAGGTCTTGCAAGTACTCTTCAATGTTTTTCATTGAAGCTTAGATGGGTACCAGAAGCTTGGATGGGTAGCTTTAGACAAAAGGTGGTCTGTCACAGCTGCTTCCCTCCTCAACTTTCCCCCCAGAGTATTCATGGAATCTCACCCAGGCACTGCTAAGAGTGGGATGACTACAGTTCTGAATGCCTTGAGCATCTGTCAGAAGGACTGAGAGACAAAACACAAGAGAGTCACAGGAAATCACATTCCAAGTCYGTTCTGTCCAACAGTTCAATCTGTACGTACAGCCTTGGGGGGGAGCACAGAATTGTCACCCAACCCCAGGCCCTGGCAAGAACCTCAAATGCCTCAATCAGGCTCTCTGTAAAAGCTCATTCTTACCCGTGAGCTGATAAGGACTTCCTGGACCAGAAGAGCTCTCTGGTGAGTTGGGGTAGCTGATGCTGTTAGGCGACTGGGAGAACATGTGGCTGGGGGATGATGGGAAAGGGGTGCACGGGGGATGCTGGAAAGAATCCGGGTAGGTGGCATTGTGCGGCATCAGGGGCTCGCTGTGCAGAGATGTGTTTCGGAACTTGGCAAGGAGGCTGAGGTGAGGGTTAAACTCGCTGTGTCTTGGAACRAGTACAGGAGGTAGGACTGAAAACAAAAAACAATAACAAAATAAAATGGTTACAACTACATTCTTGAAAGTTTATCTTGTTTTAAGTTAAAAAGCGGCATGTTCCATGCTGCTCAAATATTGCTGTCTACATACAAGTCATTGAAGAGCAACAAACCTGTCCAAACCCAAGAATAAAAAACTGATTCTTGGGAATTTTTCTCCTGATCTGCAGCCAGTTACAGCAGTTCCACATGCAAAATATGGAATCTTGATRTGAGCAAKACACCATAAAATTCACAGATAYGGCAYGCGCACACAGTCACCTTACAAAAAYTCAACTGGTACATCTCTCCCTTTCAAAATTACCTGTTCTTTCCTTCTTTTAAGACTGAACATGTCTTTTCTAAATATTATCACCAAGATATGCAAAATTCACAGCCAACTTTAATAACAATTAATAGCGCTCTGCAATACACTGCATATTTTACTACCAGTGTGTTACAGATGGGCAAAAAAAAGTACAGACCTGAAGCCAGACACCAAATCTAAAATGTTGTCAGGAACTTGAAAATGCTGCCAGACAGACAGTGGGATCTTTAAAAGGAAATGTGAATGGCAATTCAAATATTGCAGCAATATCAATTTAGCYCTTGCAATATAGTTAGGAAAGGTCTAGCATAAGAAGGCATATGTCAGTGGTTGGTATTTAAGACATGAAAAATGCAGGTCAGAAAACTGAAATCCAAAATAACCCATGTAAAATTTAGTCTAAGTAGAAGTTGCTACCTCTCTTCACAAACCCTTCACTGTTGAGTTGCTACCTCTCTTCACAAACCCTTCAGTACTGTTAACAGCATTGCTCCTTTGATCCAAATCATTTTGGATTTTGACATAGGAGGAGCAAGAGCAGAATCAAGAGTCAAAACACTTTAAAAATCCTGACTAGTGAGATACCTATGGAGATGCAGTCCCTAGGTTGGAACGCAAAGTGGCTGCTGAATAGTTCTGCATATGAGAATTCAACCTGAGGCTTTAACTGTGTCCTCCACAGTCTTTGGAGGGAATAACAGCATCCACATGAGCAGTTCATGTATCCCAAGATTTCTCTGTTAGTTACTAGCTCACATGGTGCCTAATTATCTTAGTTAAGGCTTTCAACACAGGTAGGGAGAATGAACCCCCACCTGGTATCATGCAGATCTAAAAACCACCATAGAAGTAAAGAAAGCAATCTCTGAGTTATTGCGAGAAGGATGAATTGTCCCAGCATTTGAAACAATTCAGCAGTCTTGTATTGACTGACCTAGTGTCCAGAGTTCCTCTGGCCTAAAACCCAGCAGCACATCATCTTGCAGTTTGTCCTTATGAGTTATGGAAACAAGTAACAGTGTGCACTCGTTTTTAAACGTTGATGGGAATATACAGTTTGAACGTGTTTTAACACATTGCATGGGCCCAACAGCTCTTTCTAGGTAAGGCTAATTCTCTTTAGGTAGGTTAGCTAACAACTTTTAATTATAGCAAACTCTCATTTATCCAACTTAATGAAAGAGTGGAATAATTGCTATAAAGCAAATAATGTACAGATAATGCAAAACGTGCATGAGAAGAGGCTGCAGAAATCCTCCTGGGAATACACATCAGTTGCTCAGAAGCTGGGGCATTTACAGTGCATGGTACCAACAAGGGGTTTACAGCTCCTTGCAGAGTTAAATCACGTGTCTGCCCACCCACTGGAATATACCATTTGGAAATTTCCTGGTCACCCATGACCTGAAGAACTAAGCTTTAAAACTATGCAAAAGATTGGACTGATGGCAGGGTGTTCACTGCAGAAATCTCCTTACCTGCCTGGAAACACAGGCACAGCGATATCTGTTAAGAGACTACACATAAACACTTCTCTAGCCCAAAGCATTGCTAATTAGCCTCTGGGCAGGACAAGGGTGGTGTTCTGGAGACTACTTTCTTTCCTTCTGCCTCTCAAATTCCCCTATTGGTGGCGTGAAGATTCTGCTGCCACTTTCTTAAGTCCTTTGATAAAGAAAGGTATTTCTGTTTCTGCATTTTTAGCTTTAGACTCTCCAGGTAGGACTCATCCAGGCAATACAAGAATTCACATCTGATATGCATTGGCCCAGTCCCCCGTGGATCCCTCAAAGCCAGTGGAGGGAGAAAAACTCTTTCACTGCTATATATTGGTACAAGACCAGTGCCATTACTGCAGATGTGGTTTTGGTGAGCTGTACTCCTCCCACCCCATGCCCTGTGAACAGCTCCAGGCTTTGAGCTATTGCTGCTTCTGGAGTTTTTCTCAGCTGCTCCATGAAGATGGTATGATGCTTGTCAGGTGTGCTGCTAATCAGCCATCTCTGACCACAGCCTTGGAAAATGAGGAGCTGGTGATCCCTTTGCTGCCGGCAGAGGTGCTGAGCAAGGACAGCTGTGTGCAGCCTGGCTGTGGGTACCATCACTACAGGAGCTGCTTCCTTCAGCCCTGGGAGAACTCAGCTCCTTCTCTAAATGAAAGCTGAGAATCTGGACGTGAGAATAGCACTTGCCAGGGAAAGCCTTTGATTTGCCTTGAGTGAGTCAGCAGGAAGAATTTTCAAGCCTTGAACTCCTTCCCAGCTCTGACCATGGCACTCTTAATTTCTGCTCCACTGTACTGTTTTTGCCACCTCACTCACTCTTTCCACTGGCTGTTCTGTGACTGCCTAGAGGACTAAAATCTCTGTGGTGATGAGGCATTCAGAGTTTTTTTTGTTTGTGGCTCAGAATACCAAGGGCCTTGTTCTCCTTGTTCTTTTGGTAACATGTCATTCTCCAGGGCCCAACCACTCTGGAGGAAGCATGACTAGAGGCAYAAAACTGAGTGAGTGTGTTGGGACCTGTCTGTCCTCATAAATTATCTGCATTTTCTCCACTCACTGGKGTCCTTCTACCTGCTATTGCCCACCAAGAGCCCGAGGTGCACCCTTCCTTCCGTGCCTGCTCAAGTGTTGATGACCTTTGTTAAACTGAAGACAAGTACAGCCGTGTCCCAAGTCCTGCCACTGTCTTTCATGGACAAGGCTTTCTCCTGTTCCCTTTAGCTTCAGCAGTTCTTGCTGGGCACCCAGCTGTGCCCAGAACCTGCCACTTCAGATGCTAGCAAGGAAACTTACCTCCCTCAGTGTTAATTTCAGGTACAACACCCACACTGTGATTTCTCACACATCAATCCATCTCTGCAGAGTTTACTACTTTTGAAGACCTACTATCTGGTGAGATCCATCTATTTCCCATGCCCACAACCATTCCCAAACTGGGAGGCCATCAGGTGGCCTTCCACCTGGGAGACTGTCACATCTTAGTCCCACTCAGGCTGGATGAAAGCAGTCAGTTAGTCTGAGTCAAAAATCCTCCCCTCTACAGCAGTGGTGCACCCCCAGATTTGTGATATTTACACATGAATGGTCTCATGAAAAAATACTGGGATACATGTTTAGGCAGCTTCTCTGTTCTTCTGAAACTGCAGCTTCTTCCAACAACAAACCATTCAGACTTCTGAGAAGCTCTTCGAAGGCAATAATGAAGGGGGAAGCAGAGCATAACCACCATAGCTATCTCCTTAGSCTAGGTGGCCTAACTCATCTCTGCAGTGGGATGTTGCACACAAAGAGAAAATATTTTCTGCTTTTTTTTCTAAGTGGCATCTGCTACTCAGCAGACCTGAGAAGGGATACTTGCAGCAGCAGTAAAGGCCATATGTAATCTGTGCTGTATCAGTCAGCAGAGCCTAAAGTGGACTGGGCAGCCTGAGGGCACAGCAGAGGCAATGAAAACCCTGAATCTCTGACCAGAGTTCAAAGMTGAGCTCTAGGAACAGAGGTCTAGGGATTTGCCAGGCTGTCAGAGAAAGGGTGAGGCCCTCCCATCTTTGACACAACTCATTCATTCTGGATCAAAGTTAATGGATCTGGTCACAGAGTGGTTGACTCAGCAAGGAAGACTGCAGTGATGGAAAATTATCCCCAGAAGGATGGGAATTTGTATGAAAATAATACTGGTATGTGGCTTATAAAAAAGTGCAGTGTTGACTTATTCCGTGGGTGGATTGTTCAGCTCCAGAGGATGAGACTCAGAGAATCTCACATGCYTCTAAGATCACCAACAGCCAAGATGCAGAAGATTTCCTGCAGTTAAAAGAGGACTAYTGTTTAAACAGACCAGCACCTAAATCAACCCCTCCCAGCCTTTTCTGTGGTGATCTCTCTGCTGCCACTCTCTCATGAAACTCAGTTGTTCTCTTGCCTCGCCAACACCTCCTTGCAGCTCTGCTTTTCAACTGGAGCTGCCTTGCACCACTTGCACTGGGTTGAGTTCTCTCTCCTGCTGCTGCCCCTGCTTAACACAGTGTGTTCCACTCTGTGCTACCTGGTACAAATACATACCACAGCTGCGAGCTTCAGCTTCTGAGTTGTCCCTATAAAAAGAGTGGTAGGGGTGAATGTAACAGCCTGAGAAGAAATCCCAGGTCCTGTGGAGAACTGGTACAGCACAGTTTGCATCCTCACAGTTGCACTCGCTTTTGCTTCCAAAACAACATGGCCAAGTCCCTCCTGTGGGTTAACCCTGCACTCTGAGAGCTGCTAGTCCTCACGACTCCACATGGCTCAAAACTGTTCCTGGGATCATGCTACCAATTCAGCAGCACCCAGACSTGCACCTAGTCCCCTTCTCATTTAATAGTAGAGATAATACAATTTAATATTATAATATAATTTAATACTGGCAGTCTGCTGTACGGACTGGTGATAGAGACGTTCACATCTGAAACCTTCAGAGTTTTGGAATTGGAATAAACTTTGGCAGCCATTTAGCAGCTGCTGGACTATTCCAGCAGTAATGTTTGTTAGCTGGCACTGAACAGATGAGAAAACCAGGGCTGAARTCAGCACTGTGCAGTGCTGTCAGCTACTGCACTGAGGAGACTCCATTAACTACACCCAAGTTACACCAGAAGAATTGAAAAGACACTGAAGACTGCAGCTGCAAATAAAGATACACAAAATGGGATATTTTATGAGCATCTTTTCTTAAATTATTGAAGAGTTTACTTTAGCAAGGCAGGAGTTCAGCTCTTTCCACTGAAAACTGTTGACAAAAAGCACCACTCAGTGTAGCTGTAAAATTTAAAAGTTGTGACAATGTTTATAGCAGTTTGGATGCAACTTCACAGTGACAGCTCTGCTGCACTGGAAGGATTGTCAGAAGAGGAAGCAGCCCCTGGTGTTTAACAAATGTTAACAAATGTCTTTCCCTTATTTCATCTGTGTGAAAAGAAACATCCCACGGTTCACTTATCTGATCCTAATGTCACCTCAGAGCAAAGTTCATGCCAGACAAGGCATAATCTCAGAATAATAAGTATACACTTACCAACTGTATCCATTAGTAAATTAAATTACGGTGAATTTTGGCAGCAAGGGAGAGCTAGGTTAGACATTAGAAATAATTTTGAGCTGCAAGGATAGAATAAAAGCAATAGATTCACTTGCCTGGGGAGGTTGTAGAGTCTTTATCACATGGGATTTTTAGAGCTCATTAGGAAAAGGTCTGTCARGAATGTACCTGATAATTTGGTTTGGTTTGGGAGTCTGGGCAGAGGGAGAGCAGGATGACTACTCAAGACCTTTGCCAGCCTTTCTTTCTAAGATCCCTGTAGAAGTCAACACTGAACACAACCATTTTTTAGCCACCATTTCATTGACATAAAGCCCAATTAAATGACCTTTCAGTGAGGCCATGTTTTTAGTGCAGTTCGAAGAGGATTGGAAAAGAAATTTCCATTGTCAGTGGAAAATTTCAAAGTTTTATGGGAACTTGTTGGATTTATTTCACATAAACTCCCCCTTTAGGTAATAAATCCCACTTAAGGCAGGCTACCAAGCATTTTAGGAAGAATCAACAGACCTGGTTTCATATTCACTGCAAAATACACCATATTACTGCAATTGTTCTCTTTAAAGAGAGAGCTAGTGTTTCCTGGGGATTAATGAGTCAGCTGTTGGTTTTCAATGAGACTTGAAATCTCACCACGTGGTAAGGCCAGACTGGTGCCCAGACTTCATGCAAACGGCCCCCAGTTCCATGGGGGGGATTCAGCACCCACGTGCACGCAGAGGAAGCTGCTTTCAGCACCTTGGACAAGGTCCGGGTGCCCTCAGGGTCTGAYGGGCTGCAGACCCCACCGGGAGAGGGGCTCCTCACTCCCTCCTTAGTCCTGGCTTCCAGAGCTGTGATCCCACCAGGCAGGGTAAGATGGAGATCCTTCCCTGCTCCGAGCACAGCTCTGTCGGATGCCCCAGGACCAGACCTGACCGAGCGAGAGCTAACACAGAGATGCGAATCATTGCAGATGGCACAATTACCTGGGGTTTCCACCCGCCGGTAATGGTAGGGGTTGATGCACACCTCCTTCTGCTTGGAGCCAAAAGGGAACTCGCAGCATTCCAGTGGTTTCAGCTCGTGGTGAGATTGTAAATCAGGCCAGCGCCACACTCTGCAGTAGATGACGTGGGGAAGCCCTTTGCGGTGGGACACCTGCAGCCGCCCGTCCAGGGAGCGTGGGATCGTGACGCATTTGCTGGGCTGGCCCGGGCAGCTCAGAGCCCTCTCCAGCTCTTCCATGGCTCCTTTTTTCTTCTTTAACTTCTTCACCAAGGAATCAACAGCTTTTTCTGCCCACTTTTCCTCTTCATCTCCTTGTTTCCAGCCCAGCAGCCTTTTCACTGCAGGGCTGGTGAAGGAGAACAGGGARCTGATAGGGGTGCTGGAGTGCATAAGAAGCAGAGATTACAGAAACGAGTGTTAACAGAAGCACAAACTGCTCTCTTGCCTCGCAAGGCCTGCACAGTTTCCCTCCTTCAAGGAAAGGTTCTTCCAAGCATAGATTTTTGTAGTCTTAGGCACTGGTTACAAGTGGTCCAACAGGGTGGGTCTCAGAACTTTCCAAACATCAAGAGACTGCCAAGGAAGCCTGGAACAGCAACACAATACAGAGTTAGGCTTCACACACTATTTCCATTGTTCCCTCAATAAAATATTTTGAAAGAGAAATTATTCAAAATGTGTAGTTAATTTTCAGTGGTTTTCTGTTTGTTTTTTGATGTTTATTTTGGGCCCAAGCCTCTCCTCCCCRCTATCCTCCCTATTCATTTTAGAGTTGGACCATGGAAATCATCAAGTATCCAGTCACTTTAATTTGTGTTTAGAGTTTAATGTGCTAGGCAGATGGCTGCTGAACTAAGATTATTTTTAGTACAAAAGAAAATTTACCCCCTTTTTTATMTGCTGGTAGCTGTAAGTTCAGGTCAAGCATCTCCTATAAAAGATTTTTCATCCTTTGGAGCTAATCTAYTTTCATTTATTTATATGAAAATAAATCTGTAACATCAAATTTTATGGAATCAATGAGTAGAATATTGTTCTGACTTCAACTGTCTCTCTCTGCCATTCCAATCTCACTGTACTGTCAAGAGTTGTACAATATTAACTGCTRAATTAATTTAAAATTAAACTACTCACAGATTTCATTTAAGGCCTTTGAAAGATCTACTAGTATGCACTAAACATATTTSTATTTTCTCACATGGAAGAGAAAAACCTTCTTTTCCTGCACGGTTTGTTTCTTTTAACAGTTCACAGCTTTCTGGATCCAAATCACAGACTTTTGGACACAGTTTGTGCTGGATGAATCCTCAGTTATTTTTGCTAGGAGTTGCTACATCTGACAAAGTCCAACAGAAAGAGTTTAGTTCCTCAGGACTTTTCCTTTTTTTTTCTTCATATAGCTGGAGCCAGGCTAATTTTAGATGAAAATTACATATTTCCACTTACTGGAGCTCTGAGGAGAAATGCCCTCGTATGTCAAGCTCTTTACTGCTTTAAATACACTTCRTTGACCCCCTGTGCATAGCAAGTCCAAAGGTCATAACTACACAGAAGGAWCTTAAAACAGGAGATGGGAGGAGCTCCCAAACGGATGCCTCTGGAAAAGCAGCTCCATGACTGCCCTAGTCCACCCTTGTGGACCTTTTAGCCCCCACCAATAAAAGCCTGTTCACAGTCCTCAGCACCACTTACACACAGCCACTGAGGAGACAGAGGTTGCCCAGCACTGGGAGCGGCAGAGCTTCAGAAACCGTATTTTTGTGCCATTTCCCTAAATGCAGAGATCTTGTAAGTGTTCAAAGGGCATCTGGGGACACAGCRTGCCGGTGCAGGTACAGCACACTGAGCCAGGAGGCCAATCCCAAAGATTGGTTTCTTGGCAGAGCRAGCAGCCTCTTGGACAGGCTGCGATGTTCACTGAGGACCAAAGACTGCCTGGTTTTGGAGCTGTTTTTCTCCCAGCTCTTCTGTTTTGTTCTCATGCCTATCCCTATTCCCCACTGCATTACCCTGTGAGATGCCAATCATCCTGAGGAAAGCAGATTTATGGAAACATAAAAAGCTTCTTCCCTTCCTCCACAACAGCAACAATGGTGGGGGAAAGGRCTCAAAGTCCCAAAAGCCTTCCACTGCACTAGGAAGATGGAAGCACTTGGTCCCACACAAGAGAAAACATGAAAGCAACTCTTCGGCAGCAGCAGCTGTTATTCCCCAAATCTTTTCACATTGCAAGGACCCTGAAAATATGCACAGAGGAACTACAAAATGGAGGCAGAACAGGTACACCTCTCTTCAGGCAMCCACCACAGTACTGAGCTCTGGTTCGTGCAATTTCTACGTTACCAGTCAATGTGTGTGTGTCCATTTGTCCTCGACTGTCAAGAGAGGCTCATGACAGAGCACGGCAGAAACCCTCTTGCTCGTGCCATTCATCAGTCAAAGATCAGTTCCATAGAACTGCCCAAATCTGTCCCACCACACAAAGAGAAACTTCAGATTCCAGAATTTTTCCTGCTCTGTATTCATAAAAGTCCAATGACCTAGAGTATTTAACTGGATAGTTACTAATGCCTCAAGACAAAGCCAAACACTTAGAGGGTACACATGAGAATGAAGGAAAATCAGAGTGATTTATCACAGGGGGAAAAAAAAAACCCTCAATCTGTTTGTAAAACATAATGTGGACAAAATTTAGGCAGGCAGGCTCCAGCCTTTGCAGGAGCAGGCTCAGCCTACAGAGTCCAGCACCAGCCCCATCCGGACATCCTATGCAGTGGAAGTGTCTGTCCCTCACTGCCCTGGTGGGAACTTGTGAAGGATCCAGCACCACTCTGCTGTCATTGCTTTGTGGCACCAAACCCCATCCTCACGTGAGAAAACTAAACAACACTGGGATCACTGTGGGTCAACCCTGAAAGCAGCAACAGGAAGCGAGGAAAGCCTGGGATGAAAACCCACTGGACAGAAGCAGTGTAGAAGTCTCTGCTCTGTGCTGAGAAGGAAAATGGCTCACAACTTCTTATCTGAGGGGGTGTCCTGGGCACTGGCAAGTGTAAACAACTGCTCCTGATAAGTTAATGCAACATTGCAGTCATCTGATGTGAAAACATACATGTTCACGTAAAAGTATTGTCCCGAGATTTTCTTTTCCATTTTGACCAAGGTTTTAAATAAACACATTAATCTCGTTCAGTCAAATTAAATAACTCAACAGTGACATCAGTATGAGTCTGAGCACTATTGCTGCTAGTGGGAGAGTCGCCAAGACTGTGTGTATAAAAGCAAAAGCTGTGCTTTGCACACCATGTGATGTAGTCTCAGATAAGTACGTTGCGCAATTTCCTACTGCGCTCCCTCCAGTTTCTTCTAAAACCTTTTTTCCCCCAAATTCAACTCACATATCAAATATAAATGGTATTAAATAAACTAAACAGCTTTCAAATAATATTATCAGAATATCCTAGTTTAATGTTATTAAATTACATAATACTGCACACTATTCAGCAGACTAAGCCCTGTGTTGCTACGCTTAGATTGTCCATTGTGAAACAGTGAGGCAGCCCCTCTGCTCCAGGGCTGCAGCAACAGAGATGTCAATTCACAATTTAATTGTAACAGTCTTTCAGGACAACAGTTGCTTAAGCCATATGCCTTTGGTAACAGGCAACTTGCCTACCCAACTGGAAACTTCCAATGCTGAAATGTTTCAAACCCACATTTGATGCATTTTCTGTGCTGAGGTTCCATTGTGTTTCTCAATGCTCACCAGTTTACAGGGGCAGTGGAGAGGGAAGTTTTATAGTTTTGGTCCATCACATGTCCATCATACGATGTTGGAAGTTCTCTATCTCCCTCACACAATATGGTGTGCTATTGAGAGGATGAGTAAGGGATCATTCAGAGTACATTACAAACATGATTCCCTCCTCTGGGACTGCCAGGAAGGCTTTGTCTCTCTGTCAGCTGAGTGACTGCTCAACACTAAATACGATCAGTCTTCCATAGGCTGTAAATCTTTATTCCATCAGTTTAGCCTGAGGTCTGAAGCTTGATTGAGGGAAGAGGCAGGAGACCTGTGGTACATGAGCGTGGACCCACCCTTTTATTTCTGTGGCCTGCAGGAGAGGAAATGCGTCAGCCCAGTTCACCAGCTCCATTCTCCCTAAACACAGGGCCGTCTACTATTGCTATGGCACAACAGTGGTGGGAAACACCTCTGCACACAGGATTACCTTTAGCATGTTATTACCACAGCATCTGGAATGGCTTTGGTTTGTGCCAGCAGCACTCCCCCAAACCACTCCTGTGCATGGTTCAAGAGTTAGGAGGAAAGAAGTCACTCCTAATAAGTCAGCATAGAGCCACCATGTTTTGGAGGGTGAGACAGCCATTGCACAGAAGCGAGCCTCAAGGCCAAGATCAGTACAAGGCACGTTTAATTTATTAGCATAGAAGCAGTCCTCCAGTAGAGTTTACTTGGCCACATAAACATGTCCACATTTTTGACAYCCATATCTGACCTTACATACTCAAGTCCCTAAATATGTATTTGAGAAAAATATGTGTGTAAATGGCATGGACCATTCCACCTAAAAGTAAACATCTAGAACCAGGCACAACATACAGCTGATGCTGTGTGAGATGAGGCACCTCAAGTCTGCATGACTGCAAGGCTAAGAGCCAGCAACATGCACGTGAAATGGAAAGGACTAGGATATTTTCTCCTACTCCAATGCCCATTTTTCACCTTCCAACATAGAAAGAGCCTGTTGGTCCTCAGGTCAACAAGAGAAATGGGTTGCTCCAGGAGCTTCACTTCAGTAACTCCTACAGTGCTACCAAAGACCCTGACACGCCAAGAGCTGAGAAAAGCCCACCATAATTGTGGGATTACCATTTCCTAACTGGAGCCAGATCCTACCAAAGTCAATAMGGGTTCTGGATCTCATGGAAATTAAACGTGCCCTCCTCTGTGTCTCATGTGGCAACATGCRGACATCTCCACTATGGAAAGATTTTCTGAAGTTTAAATTTCACCCAGTGTAAAAAAGATCCACTGCAGCAGGGAGGACTCGCATCGCACCTCAGCCTGTGCTGTCCAACATGCTGATGAAGTTCCGTCTAATTCGGTTGCCATCAAATCACAGAGTCACAGAATACGCTGAGCTGAAAGGGACCCACCGGGATCATCAAAGCCAGTTCCTGACCCTGCATAGGACAGCCCCAAGAATCACACCCTGTGCCTCAGAGTGTTGTCCGAACACTTCCTGATCTCACCAGCCAGGCTGGTGCTGCGGGAACCTGTTCCAGTGCCCAACCACCCTCTGGGTGAAGAACTTTTTTCTAATGTCTAACCTAGAACACAGCTTCACAGCATTCCCTCAGGCTGGGGGAATTTCACTCACATAGGCAGAGCAGGGAAATTGTACCAGTCCCCATTAAATTTCACTCTAAATTTTCTGCAGAAGTCAGAAAGGAAAACTGCATGGGTGCTAACCAAAACAACTTAAAACATTACTGTGTAAAAAGCAAAGTGTCCAACTCCCTCGAAAGCAATCTGTGCAGATGTGTGGGTGCTCCTGGTCTCAGCACAAATGTTCAAGGTGCTGCCTCCACCCGAGCACTCGCCCAGGCAAACAATGCCGTGAGAGGCACAGGTGTCTGTCTCAGGAATGCCTGACATCATCAGTCACCGTGTCACTGCAACAGCTCAGTAAGGCCACAGAGGGAGATTTCTCACAGATTTCTCTACATAGAAGCTGTGCAGTTCTTGGGGATGCATGTGGCTGCGAAACACAGCAGTGAGACA